TTATCCCCGTAGATTGTTGTTTTTCCTTCATCTTGATAGAATCTCGATGATCGGACACAGATCTTTTGCATTATCTGACAAACTGCACGTTTCAGGATAGCCGATGTCTACATTAGCACTTGTATAACATGCATTGCGATTGCATGGGGTTGTGCACACACACGCACACAGAGTTGAATACATCATCCAAGCAGCCACTTTACAAGCATCTACAAAGTCTACCAATTAGACCATTCGATCTTATAGGATAATAGTTTCACGATATCCTCACTGTTGATCAGACAGTCGTGGGTTATGTTGATCACGTATTGAACTGGGTTTCGAGGAGTAGAAAGTTATGCTTAGTAGCTGCGTTGACGCACGACAGAAGTGCATAACTTTCATGGCACTGCAGAGATGAACCGTGGTCATATCATGTTGTTGGTCTTATTTTCAACTAGTTGCAATTTTAGTTAAATAAGCTTCTAAATATGTGTTTTCAAAGTTTCCGAACTGGACACTCCATGGACATGTGCTCTATTTCAATAAAAAATGAACTCATTTTCGGTTGTTATCTGAAATGAGCGCGGTTTAAGTTGGGGTCGCGGGATATCTCATTCATGGAGCCAGTTTCAGTTTTTACAATCATCAATTTCGTGCACCGGTTTTGGTTGTCATCTTTTGGCCGCCCATTTGGATAAAAGAGCAGGAAGAATATTGGAATGTTGAAAGCAAATTCTAGCAGAATATGGAGAATTCATATCGACTAGTTTTAAGCGAATAATGAGTAAATGCATGAACTCCACTGTTTTGACACACCCAGCCATATCGCTCAGTAAAACTCAGTAAGAGCCAGGCAAACCGTCGATGCATGAGATCGCAGTGTGATTAATTTGGAGTTATTGCAATTATCCAGAGTAGTNTGATAAATTGTTTAGCAAGAGGACAGATAACAGTTTCAGCATAATAGCCACTCATAACGTCAATGAAATGAAAAATGCACGGGTGAAACTGACGTTGTATTAGACGCGATATAGTTATGAGCGCCTTTGTTCATGTTTTTATTTCTCAATTGAGGATCAATTTTATTGAATGCTTGTAGCAAGTTCATTGACGAATTTTCAATAAATATAACCATAACCTCTATACAGTGGGTCGGGGAACAGATGGACCAGTAAACTGCTTGTCTTCGATTTGGTTCCTCAGAGATTTTTCTTCAAGGGTGAATATCTGTTACTAAGGAAAGAGCCACCGATCGGTCCTCAGAGCCAAATCTCTATGTTGACTCTAGTCACGTATAATAATAAACTTTTAATTCCCTTTATTTAATCGACAGGTAAACAATCAATTTTCAGGAAGACATAAGCGGTCAATCAACGGGCCATAAAGACACATTAGGACGTGAGAAAGCTTGTCGGTGATTGGGCCCTTTGATCACATGACCTGCCGGTTAATGTGTTCGTGAGGAATACGGCTTGACCGTAGTCACCGAATGGGTCTTCAACATGGTCATCGTTAATAGATCACCATGTCGCAAAAGTATGCATGCCAAAACAACGCGTTAAGATCTCAGCGCAA